GTCCGAGGGAAGTAGATTTTAATCGGGGTTTTTGTTGGAGTTCGTACTACATGCGAGCTTGTCATTTGGCACGTGTAGCAAATATTTTGACAGATATTGTAAATACGGCCACGAAACAAAATATATTCCCCACGCCCACTCCAGATACAAGTAAAAACACTACACCTACCCCCAGAGGTATTTTAATACTTTACTCTGATTGGTTATCGGAAAGGGGCGTGATTGATGGCTGTCACCCGAAGCTTGGTGGCATGAAAGTGAGATTCTCAACGGTCCTGACCAGAGGTTCTCTCCGCTCGCTGCTTTACAGCTCGTTGGTCGGCGCTTTGCGCCGAATTCTCGTACTCCGGTAGAGAGAAGAGAACCTCTGGGACCAGGGTAATCGGATCGGATCGGATCGGATTAAAAAAATCTGATCCGAAAAAAATCGGAATACAGGTTGTAGAATTTCAAATCAATCAATTTTAGTGTAAGAACGTACCCCATATTGGAGTTATCCGCTAGTAAACGTGGGAAACATCCAAAAATCCATACAAGGTCTCCAGCATTAAGAGAAACATGTCAAACATGGCGACTATTTGTCTTGCCATGCACAGTGTGCGCGCTAAGCCTCACGGGAGCTACAAGCGATGATGTTTAACTTTTCGATCGGAGGTAACGACACCTGCTAAGCAAGTGCCGCTCAACTAAGGCTGCTACGATTTGACCGTAATTGATTGTAGTTGAAAATGAATATCCGCAGACGTTCTCGCGCTCACAATACGAAATGTATAGTTGTTTTCTTAGGAGCGGACGTGACCGTGACGGGAAAGTGGTGTTGTGTTACAATGCAAGTGACAGTGTTGGGAAAAGCGGTGTTACATTACAGTGTCGAACGTCGATTTTGAGCACTCAATAAAACAATGTATGGAGTCCGTAATAGCGTTCTATCAAATCGTTCGTTATTATCTTTTTGGAAACTATTTACAATGATGGGTCAGCAATTTACAATAATGTTTAAATAAATTTAAAAAAAAAACTATGTACAGTGTGCAAGGCTACAAATGTGTTCCAAATTATTTCGTTACTCCCACCGACGCAGCCCAAACAGTTTCTTTCGAAACTATCAGCCTTTATTCATATGTGAACTTACCTCGTCTGCTTTCTGTAGTTCTTTATGCCTGTTTAAGCGAAACAACTATTCTTTGTCTGCACGTGACGTCGGCATAAATTAAAAAAACGGAAGTCGGCCGTGTTGGGGGTTAACCACGCACGTGCTTTGCGGAAGCCTGTATCGTTTCACTGTTAGTTTCTCCTAATTATCATGCCACATCTCTGTGCTGTGTTTGGTTGTAGCCATAATTCAAAACGAGAAAAGGGAAAATTTCAGTTCTTTCGATTTCCTTCTGTACTGTTGCATCAAGGAGACGAAACGAGAAAGTTAAGTGAATCAATGTATATGTGTGTATATATTTCAAACTTTAAAGAGATCTAGGAACTGTCAGTAGTTTAATTAAGCAATTCTATGAAATTCAACAGATCCATTTCCTGACACAGACAATGAGAAAGGCTGCCATTCCAAAGTAACGACTTGCGATGCAGAAAGCCAGACAACCCTCACAATGGAAGATATGGAGAAGCAGGCACAATTTATGCAGCAATGTACTTTGGAACTCAACCAGTTGAGGTTGCAATTAGTGAATGTTCAGATTTCTGAACAGGCATTTGTTGAAAATAGTGACAAAACCAAGTTTTACACTGGTATTGCCAATTTTGTTTTGTTAAATCATGTCTTTAATTTAGTTGCTAAACATGTCAAGCATACATCTACAAATGCTCTCCCACAGTTTCTAGAGTTTATTATCACGTTAATGAAGATTAAGTTGAACTGTCCGTTTCAAGACCTAGCATACCGATTTGGGATTTCTGTTTCAACCGTAAGCAGGATATTTGATAGGTGGATTGATGTCATGAGTACACGCTTGCAATTTCTGATACTCTGGCCACAGAGAGAAGAGCTAATGAAAACAATGCCATTAGTCTTCAAACAGAACTTTGGAAATAAAGTAGCTGTAATAATTGATTGCTTTGAGGTGTATATAGAGAGGCCATCAAGCTTGATTGCTCGAGCAATGACATGGTCAAATTATAAACACCACAATACAGTTAAATTCCTAATTGGAATCACCCCTCAAGGAGTCATATTCTTTATATCTAAGGCATGGGGGGGAAGGGTAAGTGACAAACATGTTACTGAAAGCAGTGGTGTGCTAAGAAAGCTGCTACCAGGGGACATTGTTTTAGCTGATAGGGGTTTTGACATTGCAGACAGTGTTGGATATTACCAGGCTAAACTTTACATACCAGCCTTCACTAAGGGTAAAAAGCAATTGTCTGCACAGGAGGTGGAAGAAACAAGAAAAATTGTGAATGTAAGAATCCATGTAGAGCGTGTAATCGGTCTAGTTCGCAGAAAGTTTGTAATCCTGCAAAGCATATTACCCACAGAGTTGGTGAAGGCAAAACCAGGTGAGCGTCTAGCTCCTATTGACAAAATTGCCATAGTGTGCTGTGCATTAACCAATTTATCAGAGTCCATTGTACCATTTGGTTGAGTTGAACTTACAACCAGGTTGATTCCAGGTACTTTAGGCACTATTTTTCATATAAAGGCCTTAAAGATGTAGTTAGGGCTAGCCATAATTTATTATCAAAGAACTTCAGTAATTCTCATGTTGACAAAAAACAGTTTAAGGTACACCACTCGCAAGCAACATTTGTTTAGTTAATGTCACAGATGCTAGTCATTAATAGATATGTAACTACATGCATGACAAAAAACCATAAAGTTCAGTTTGCATTTTGACAAAGAATAGAGCATCCCAAAGTAATATTTTAGTGGTAGTGGTAGAATTGAAAAAACTTGACATTTCAATCATGATTGCTCAGTTAATTTTTTCTATAACAAGTTGGACAGATCCAGTCTCCTTCAGGCTCTTCTTTCAATTTCAAACATGACATATGATACCATTTTATCTGGCACAAATCATTGTCACAGCCAATTAATGTGCTACCCTCCAAATCTTGTGGACAATAGCACCACTGCCCTTCCTCTTCTTCATCACCAGACAATGTTGATGAAGATGGAATGGCTTGAGCTTCACACCCTGGGCATGTATAGTACTTTCCTATTATTTCAGGCAAGATGCACTTGCTGAAGAACTCAGAGGAAACAGAGAGTACATTTTCCCAAAACTCTTGGTTAGGAAGAATTCGCTGCACAAAGAGATCTATTGTTGTCCACACCACAAAATCACAATATTCAACCCCGCAGATAAATATCTGGGCCTGAACTTGGTAGTAGTAGGCGTGACTTTTGTCAAGATGAACTTTACCAAACTCATCTTTCTTTAAACAAAAGCTTTTTTGGCCAGCAGCCTCAGAAATTGTGGAATCCTTGTGCGTATATGGACATTTTATTTCACACACACCCATCCCACAGCATTTGCAGTCAACAATCCCATCAGGAGAAGCTCCTAAGTATGGCCACCTTGGATCAATATGGAGACCACAGTCAGAAATTGTCAAAGACTCATGGAATTGATTGATTTCTATCTGGTAAGCTTTGCGAGCCCTACCCTCATGTTTACAACCCCACCTTGTTGCCGCAGTTGAAAACCTATGGGCTTCAGGGTAGCATATGGACTTAACAAGACTCTTAGCAGGCTTAGCTGTATTTGTTTTGCAAGCAGCTTTGAGATTGCAAGCAGTAATACGACCTGCCCGTTGTTGGTACCAAAATTTACTTTGTGACTGCTTTCTGGTTGAAGCTTCTATTGCTCAACAGTCATCAGGTGTAATCTCAAGCGATACTTGTCGACACTGCCGCAGCAACTCCATGTAGTCTAACTGCATACACTCTTCTTTAAACAAGCTAATGGGCAAGGGCTTGGGTATATTGTCAATTTCTTTACATATATACTGCTCATTAAAAGGTGTGACAAGGGACAAGACTGCTGGTTTTACTGTACAGCCAGAGATACTTGTAAAAAAATTTTTATGCTCCTCTGGGGTTGGAGCAGGTGTCCTGGTTATTTGGATCCCAGGGTTAGATCTAGTGGCCATAGGAGTAACCTGTTTTTCTACCATCAATTCATGCTTCTTTTTAGCAGAGGTAAAATCCATCTCACTAACAGGCAAGTAGGGGATTTCTTTCATATGACTGGGGAGAAGCCATTTGTTCTTTTCCTGTGTGCTTGTGGAAGAATCTCTAATTCTAACACCAGCCTCCACAGCAAAAAGCACTGCCCCAACATGAGAACACCCTTCACATAACCCTGCCATGCAATCACAATGGGCAGCAATTACAGTTCCACATTTTTCTGCAAGAAACCATGTTCTAAGTGGGGTGTCCCGGGCTCTCTGTGAGTGATTTACCTGGTGAGGGTAGAAAAATAGCCTTTATTCTAAATCCAAGAATTTAGAACCTTGAAATACCACTCGCTAATGTAAGTAGTATAAGTGATATGTCTTCTAAACTTGCAGCTGTTGTGTCAAGATCGACTAGTAAAACAAGAGTGTTAGCTGAGATTGATAAAAATTAGGCCTTTGTTTTGTTCTGTTTAATTGTCAGAGATCACACAAAAAAAACACTACTGTTACTTACTCTGGCGAACACAACAACTTTATCGGTATCAACAGATCGCATGCATAGAGTATTCACCCATCCAGACACAAAGAAATTGTACGCTTCCATCGATTTGTAGGCCTTCATTTGGGTTTTTGTAGCCCACGAGGTTTGCACTACCAAGTAATTGACAATATCCGGATATTGAACGTTCGGCAGGAGTTCGATGTTTTCGGAGAAATCACTTTTCCTCAACGCATATGGGTCGAAGCCACAAACAGTTATTTTTCCGTGGTACCTTGACTTCACAGGACCCTCCAGACCCACAAAATAATCCGAATACTGAATGTTTACATTGGGCACGCCCTCAGAAGAAGCCATTTTGAAGGCTTAGTTATCCCCCAACATGGCGGCCTCGTATGACGTAGCGAATTTTAGTCACGTGGTTGAAAACAAAGAATACCTTTAGTGTAGTGAGCTGGGGGCGCCTGTGGAATGTCTTATACGATAAAGAACCATTACAACTTTGCTTCAATGAGCTGCGAAAAAAGGCAGTCGTATTTCTATGCCAAAACTTAATCATGAGATGTTACGTGACTATTTTGGCGGAAAATTTATTGCGATCCGATTTTTTTCGGGTTCGAACCAGGTTTTGTGAATCGGACGCAATCCGATCCAGGTTTTTATAATCCGGTCTGATCCGGTCCAGATTTTGTCAATACGATCCGATCCGGTCGTGGTTTTGTAAACGCCCTAACAACAGCGTTATTCCTACTGTTTCCAAACTACCTCAATCATTTACACAAGAGGACGCCACATTCCCAAGGGTTATCATTATGGATAATTTCTACCTAAAGCGATGAAAGGCCATTAAAGGTAGTTTTTAGCATACGTGTACTTACAAATCGTCTAATACTTGCTGAAAGTATTTCGAGTTTGCAATAGCAGAGTTGAATCCACACAAAGCTGCATTAACTTTGAATCGCATTGGAGGTTTTCAGAAGGCTACAGTTTACAACTACACCCCCCAGAAAAATAATCGAAAAGAGGGCGAATATCATATATGATATTAGCAACATTCTTTCGAGCAACCAAAAATTGATAAAATAGAAAAAATATATATTTAAACGACGGGTAAAGGGACCTTTGGCAACTGCAGATCATGTTTCGGTCAGAGAAGGAAATTATATATCTGTTGGTCTATTGGTGATGGGCCTTCCCTTTGATAGACTTTAATAAAATGTAGATGTAGATGTATATCATCTTAACCGAAAATCTACGTAGAATTCGACACAGTTATGCTGCATATGTCACTAATGGATATTTACCTCTTTCATCTCAAGCTGTTTTGTATTGAAATGATCCTCTCTAATGGTTGCTCTTTTGTTTGACGTCACGCAATCTGAATCCGGTGCCATTCATTCACCTCAAGTTCGACCAATCAGAACACCTGATATATTAGTTTTCGCACCAACATTTTGCGTGAATGAGGTTACTAAAGTAATAAGAGGTTGCATGTAGTAAGAAGTGGCAAAATGCCGTCAACTGTAATTGTGGAATAGAAGTGAATTGTTTAAAAGAAAAAGAAAGTGCAAACTCAGCAGGAGACGTTTGATTCACTTCTCCGTTTTCTTCATTTATGGTTTCCCACTTGCCAAAAGTTAAATGGATTCCTTTTTTTTTGCACTTTAGGTCTGCACCCCATGCTATAGTTTACGTTTACAATGTTTAAGTTCATAAACAGTATTTTATATATTCATAAGCCTGACTTAACCTTTGGAAAATTCGAAATGCCAACACGAAAGTTATTTCATTTGCGGAACCTCGTCACCATGTCAGTCGCGCGCAAATTATTCTATTACCTAACGTCATAGAAGGAAGTTTCCGCAGAAGGGAGATCGCGGTGGCTCTTAAGGTTATCTTTTGAGAGATAGATTAAAACTAAACCAAATCAAGACATAAAATGGCAGGAAAATCAGGAAAAGGTTAGTTCATACTTCATAATGTCTTCGTTTATATTTTTAGCCAGTTTAATTCTAAAAAAAGACAATTTAAAGAGTTATTTCGAGAACGCTAAATATTTACGGCACCTTTCTTACGCTTGGATCAATCTCTGACCGAGTTTCAATAGAATGTAACATTTGTGTCTAACTCCGCTTTTTTTTGTCCCCATATTTTGCAATGCGCTGTTTTACACCACCTCGCGTGAAAAACGATATTTAGAGGTACAAACCAAAACTCAGGATAACTGGTAAAAATTTCGCAGGATGGCTTTCTAGAATTAGATTCTCGACGTTTTTTAGGTTGACTTTTGATGAAAGAAACATTATAGTAAAAGCCATGTATTCGTAAACTTCCAAAAAAAATGACTGAAAAACTTTCAACAGAAATGAAAGAAGTTAATATCCTCAGCACCTACTGTCGAGCATTTTGCAAACTGGAACCATGGTAACACAACATGTCAACAATCCTCCCGCACGAACTTTCTGATTCATGTCATCTCAAAAAACAGTAAGATCATACATATCGTAAAGAAGGTTGCAGTTGTAGTGATAATGGTGAATTACAATCTAGAGCGCTTTCCTATGAGGTGTCCTAAAACCAAAACCAAGGTAATCGCAACTGCTAAGTAGAAAAAAGGAAAATACCTTGAGCCAATGACTCAAAGTAAAGCAAACCAAACTGCCTAAAAAAGGGAAAACGCGCGGGAGCAAGTGGGGTTTGACCTTAGTTTTGAATCTGATTGGTCAAGAATGTGGCGCGAGTTTTGTGGTCGCCGCGATTACCGTATGAAGTCACCGATATCTGGCATGTCAGATGTCAGATATCAGCGATTTCGCCGGCGATCAAATTCGCCGCAATCGGCGAATAAAATCATCAAGTGTTACACCGGCTTAAAAACGTCTTCACAGTTATTGGACGAGGTTGAGCAAAACATTCTGATTTGCCAGCGGCCTACACATCGTATCGATTATCACCGTTGAGAATTTATAATAGGTGTCACAAAAGGAAGAAGAAAAAAGGAAAAAAAATTTTATCTTGCCTTTCTAAGAAAACATTGCCAATCTGTTTTTAGATTCTATTTAAGTGTTTGTGAGCGGTTACAAAAACTTACTCTGAAAGTAATCGGCTAAAAACTCCACTAATTAAACATGGGTGAAATAACTTGCACATACAAAATGGTCGAAAGATGCGACCCTACCAAAGAGAAAAAATAACGGCTAATCGCACAGTTAATCTATGGTCCTACGCGTCATTTCGCGCGAGCTTCCAAAATTTTAAATGTCTGAGTATGCGTCACACCAGTTCGATATACTTTCGTTGAAACATTTCGCCTTCTCATCGTTCACCTCTCGGATCCTTACAACGGCATAAAAGACTTTCCTCGCAGCTTCCAGTCTTTTACTTTGGCGACCACTTTAAAATATGGGCAGCTGATGGATTGAATCTCGATCTGTTAATCCATGTTCGACTGTCTTGTTCTGAAGTTATTGTCAACCGGCTGAATAGTTTCTTTTCAATTCTTTTATTACCGGAGCGAACGCGTACAATCTTCAAGTTAGCCGGTCTTCTCACCCCGGACGGACGTTTTAAAATCCTGGCGCAAAATACTAGCCTTTTCTCTTACAGTACAGCCATTCCATGGTTCTTCTGGTTCTTCTAGTTACACGGATACAGCTGCACACAATTTGTTGAGGTCTTCTTTTTGTGCGCTGCTCCAAGTAATACAATCTTCCCGTACAATCATGTTTATTTCCTTCAATTAGAGTCTCGAAGGCACGCATGAAAGAACGATATAAGTTAAGGAGATTTCCATCGACAAAAGCTATCTGTCTTCTCGAAAATGAGTTGACTGTTGCTGAGTTACAAATTCCTCCATTGCACGATGATTTTATCGTTTAAGAATGTGGTAGACGTGGTCTCTCAGGCCAGATTAGTCATCAGGGTCTAAACTTGAAGATCTCGGAATTGTTCTTGCATGCTTAGTCTTCTAGCCCACGAGCCAAGTGATCGCATCATAAAACGTGGGAGACAGTTTTTTTCTGTGGAATCTTCAGTTTTTTTTTAACATCTTAAAGCAGGATCGATGTGCCTGTGGGCCCACAACTGGGACATTTTGGAGGATGGAGGTCCTTGTAACGTGGTCACGTGGTATCCATCGGTGTATATATCGCGCCCACATAATTGTTTTATACTACGTCATATAGGGAAGTTTTTTAGGACAGATATTCATACTGCTTTTAGAAAAATTTTCGTACCATTTTGACATGGCACAACTCTCCCATTTTGTTTGCGCGGTGGTTTTTAAATACGCACGCAGTCGTCTCAAAATAAAAAGCTAAAAAATACAATTCAAGATAAAAAATCTTGGCTATAGTTACTTCCCACAATGAAAAGATTTAGGGTAATAAAACAATCACTACAATTAAGACAGTGCGAAAGCATAAATCAGTACTATAGAACCTTTATCCAATACAAAAGGCTAGAAACATCCTCAGAGCTCAACATCAGTTGTCTTTCAAACCGGAAGTCATGGTATCAGTGATCTATTCGCGAACTGTTTTATTAATTTTTTTCTCAGTAGGCTAAGAAAGATTATAAAATGTCTTAAATATTGTTGCCATTCTAGTAATCGTCGTAAATTACAATAATTAGAAACGAGTTACAGCCAAATATCCTGCTTTGTTTGTGGCGAGCAGGTCGAATTGGCTATTACTTTTGAGGCATCATAAGAGGTGAAAAGAGAGAGAAAGAAAAATAATTTTTCTGAATTTACCCTCCTAGAAAACATTGACAGTCTGTATTTCAATCCAAATCTCAGTTTACGATGAATTCGCAGACGCTATAAACTTGTCTTTTGGTTCACAGAAGGAGGAAGATTCTGCCTTCAGGCTCTACAGGCCAGCGGTATTGGAATAAGAAGAACAGCAAGTAAAGCAAACATTTTTTACAAATATGTGTTAATAAATTCATCTGTTTGTTTGAATGAGTGTGCTAAAGGTTTGGTGAGCTAGGCTGAAGATAACAGTCTTATATTCCTTCAGGAACCCATAATCAGATAATAACACGTCTTAGGACCCGTGCATTTGTTATTTGACATGGTCATTTCATCATTATCGATCAACAAGTCTTAACAATATAAAAAATGTCCAAATCCTTTCGCCCCAAATCTGTGTTTTTTTACTGGGAATTTGTTTGCTTATCTTGAGAAGCTTACCAGGGGTGGATCCAGACCTTGTGCTGAGGGAGGCCCCGTTTTTGTGTGTGCGTGTGTGTGTATGTGTTTGTACACCTTCCGGCTTTTCTTCCTGCTGCGTTAATTGTTGATTTAATTGCGTTAATTGCAAAATAGGAAAGGGGAGAAAATCCGGGCTCCCACGGTGCCTTCCCCTAGATCTGCCACTGCTTACGTTTACAGACGACAATGCAATAACAACACACTGTCACTCATGCGTGGCGCACTCAGAACGTGTTTCTAACAGGCCGGTTTGTAATTTTGCTGTAACATTAATTAAGGTTGTTAGTGGGCGCCTGATTCCTTTAATGTTATTACCAAAACCGGGTGAATTATTATCAAATTGATAAAGGGTACAATTTACATCAGGAACATAGCAGCAGATAATCACCGAATAAATATCATTGTAAACGTTATTCTATTGCCATTATCATTACTCATAAATGAAGTTCAAATTTGTATCTGTATCACAGATCGAAACACAAGGGTACAGACCCGAATTAACGTGAGTATATAAATAACAGCATCTTCGTAAACTTCTGTAGGTCTTCTTTTATTTGGGGCGACAGTTTTATATCAAGACGAATAAAGTCGTAGAAAATTATCAGTGAGAACCTTTTCATTGTGGGTAGTTCTCCAAGTGCGAAGCACGAGGGAAAATTGTAGCTTTGACGGAAATATAATGTTGAAGGTCAAATATTTAAGCATATTTTTGCGCCAAATGTTGATTATTGTTGAATTAGAATCTATCAATATTATGCTACGCGCAGGTGAAAAACATTCTCTCATTCTTACTAAAATACCAAGTACTTGACGTAAAGTTTAAAAATTAGGGAACATCATTAAGCGAGTATTTGACAATTATGAATGGTGGATATTTACCGAGTTTCGGTGCAGCTACGTAAATAGCCATAACTTTCACCGACTAAGGTGAATACTTTTTAATTAACATATATAACACAGAAACTAAAAGAAGTTGGTTTGTTTCCGTCAATGTACCGACAAATGCTCGAAAATAAAACCATTAGCGCGCGACTTTGTCTTTTAGGCTGCTCCAAAGCAGTGAATCGGCGCGCGCGAAAAGCATTATTCACCTGTTTGGTAGAAACTAACACCGAACACCGCAATTCTCCCAGTTTTAGTAGACACGGATTAGAATGTGGAATATTTTTTTCCGCGGTGATTATTGATATTAACATTTCATTCTCTGAATATGAAGTTAGAGGACAGGAATCGAGTTTTAATGATAGAACAAACTTCCCTTCCTTGTTTTATTATTTCACCACCTCGCAAGTAACGAAGAGTTTTAAGATTTAGCTATAATTTTAGTTACCAAAAGTCAGTATTGGGAGTTGAGTTACAGTGTATGGACGAGCGTGAAATACTGCGAATGTTAGCAAGGGGAAAAAAAGTCAAATTCAGGCAGCCTCTTATTTTTAACTGTCTTTTACGATATGAATGACTAAAAGAAGTCTCTGGTCTATTTCTTCTCTTTTAATGTGATACTACACAGGAACAAGACAAAAGGAAAGAGCAAGAGAGGTATGTGTATAAAAGATAATGGCAAACTTCTATGTGAACTTTTAAATTGACGCAGCCCCAAACAGTTACTTTCGAAACTATCAGCCTTTACTGATTCATTTTTAAATTGACGTTTCTCTAAGTCGTCTCACCATTTCATGTCCAAGTATCACAAAACAGATCAGCCGTAAAGCTACTTTGATTTTAACATTGGCCTAATTTCAAAAGCAGGTAAAAGCGTTTCTCTGAATATTGTGACTAATATTTTTAGCAACGCAACAGAGACGAAAAGTTGAATTATATCACTTGCACTTTGGCCCGGAAGTTAGATTGATAATTAGTACAGGTCAAACATGAATGGCAGAAGTGTTGCTTTGACAGAAATGTAAGATGCTTGCACATTATGTGACTTTATGTGACTTATTATTTTGAAACAAATCTTACTAGCACTGGTTAAATTGAGTTTATACTGGTTCATTTACTCACTTTGAATTTGTGACTCTTATTTCAGTTCAATTTATTTGAATCAAAATCACTGATTTACAAGAAAGCTAGAGTCATTTCACAACTCAAATGCATGATTCACTCTCATAGTAGGAACGAGCTGGTTAAAATAAAGGACGAACAGACAAAAGAAAGGGAAGAAATGCTGTCTGAAATTGCCAAGGTAACGGTTTTTGATTTTATGTTTTCTATAATTCAAAATTTTTTACTTCCTCTTACATTTGCTGTGACTTTATTTTCATGGGCCAGAAAATGTCTGGATTTAAGATTTCAATAAAAGAACCATGCTCGTACAGTAGGTCATCGTGTGTAGTTTGGTAACTTTGCAAAGTTTCAGAAAGATTAGTATTAAATCATTACAACATAGGCCACTGGACTTGACAATCTATGCAAAGTAAGTGCTAGACCTTGATGTCATTTCTTTGTAGAAACTGGCAAACACGGGGTCCCTTATAAATTTTCATGTCTGCCACAAATTCTCATGAACTCCGTTCACACATCCGCTAGTATTGCTATTTTAGTTTTATGAATTAATTTTTTTTGAGTAAAAAGTCAAAAAGAATGATTATCACTAAGGGGTCCATTACATTTAAAAATTGATGGAAGATAGGTTTCGATGGTTACTCATAAGATCAAATGCGAATAATTTTTTTTGACAGCTTAAAGAAGAAATTCAAGTGCGAAGTTATGAAGCGCAGCGAGAAGCCAGGAGAAGGGAGAATATCGAGAGGGGATTGAGAGAAGCAAAGCTTGATTTAGAAAATAGAAATGCTGAGCTGAAAACGAAAGCAGGAAATCTTCAACGTGCACAGGAAGACATCACAAAGCTTAAAGAAGATATTCAAGTGCGAAGTTATGAAGCGCAGCGAGAAGCAAGGATAAGGGAGAATATCGAACAGGGATTCAATCAAGCAAAGCTTGATTTAGAAAATAGAAATGCTGAGCTGAAAACGAAAGCAGGAAATCTTCATCGTGCACAGGAAGAGATCGCAAAGCTTGACCAGCAACTCAAGGAAGAGAAGGTAAATTTATTACTTGTGTATATTCAATTTTCATTTGTCTTAAGACCCTCACTTCAATATTGAGCGGTAACTTTACACAACTGGTAGGTCTTCCTAGGACAGGAAATGGTTGTAAAAGCTAGTAAACTTATATGATGCATGCTTGACGGGAATTTTTCTAAGTATACGATATGTAATCAATTGTATGTATGATCATCTGGGTAAATTAGGACTCCCTGAAAAGGACTGTTGCTGGACTTGTTGGACAAAAAGACTGAAATTCATATGATGATAACTTCCACTGCATGTTGTGGTAAAATATGGTATGATCTGTTCACATAATCTGCAGGGAGGTTAGCTAGAATGTTATGGAGTCAACAAGGTCATATTTGCGTAATACAAAGCAGCTATGAAATACTAACAATTTTGATTTAATTGATTTGAGTCAACTTGTAGAGAGATGTGAAGATATCACCCCTGTGTCATTATACTCCCACCGACGCAGCCCCAAACAGTTTCTTTCGAAACTATCAGCCTTTATTCATTATACTACTGTTGTAGTATACTTATGCTTAAACATCAGTCCCTTTCACTGACCACAATCTTTCTTAGGACCTCCCTATTAGAGTTAATCAGCATTTTCCTCAAAGAAAAAAGTTTTCTTAAATTAGATGTATAGTCAATATTGGTCATGGTTACTTTTTTAGAGAAAAATGATAAGCAAGAGTTGAGGATTTTATTTATTTTATTTTAGGTACTAAATGAAAAAGCCATGAAGGATACAGACATGTTGAAGGCTCACATTACCAAGGTGCAGCAAGATTTTGATCAGCAACGTCTTAGCTATGATCGGCTGGACACAGAAAATACACAAAAAGCTGCTGAGTTGAAGGCAAAAGAAGACCAGATTAATGGGCTGAAACAGGACACCGAGCGTTTGACAAAAATGGGAGAACCCATCCAGAGGAAGCTGAAAACCATTGAGGATCAGAAGATTGAAGTTGAGCAGCAGAAAGAAACTTTGAAAGGACAAGTAACGGGATTGGAAAAAGGTAAGCGGAAGACGGCATGAAAGAGAGACTAAGGCAAAAGTCTTTTCACTATGGACATTACATATCTTATAACGACTGACATTCTCAATGGCGAAGGTCTTCTGGCTCCCAAAGTCTTTTTCGATGAACGCACTGTTAAGGAACCTAGATCTGAAACACTACTTCGCTTAGCTGAACTAACGCTCACGCTGAATTGTTTTCCATTCGGGGACAACCTTTTCAAACAAACCAATGGCGTAACCATGGGTACCCAAACCCAGCTATGCCAATCTTTTGGTAGGTTTTATCGAACACCAACTTTCAGCCAATACAATACGGCCCCAAACTTGAACTTTACGGTCGCTACACTGAAGACTGTATCGGCGCTACCTCCTCTACTAAAGAGGAGCTTACTAAATTCATAACCACAGTCAATTCTTTTCACCCCGCTCTAAAATATACCGCGGAAATTTCCGACAATTCTTTATCCTTTTTAGACATCAAAGTTTCAATTGAAGGCAACGGTTTATGCACTTAAGACTTCGTCGTTTATTTAGTGATGACTCTGATTTTTTCCATTAATCAGAGTCAATCTGCCAGTTTTTCGAAAAACGTAGTTACCCTGTTTCTGTCGTTTAAGCGGGTCACCACCGCGCCCAACTTATTGATCGACAGTCCGCACTGCAAACGTCACAGAAGGAAAACTCCGACCACATTCCATTCACTCTCACATTTCACCCTCACAACCACGGAGTTAAATGCATTATTCTTAAAGACTTTAAATTGCTTCAAAACGATCCAGAGACTGGTACTATCTTTTCGCAACCTCCACTCATTTCATTCAAAAACATACTAATGACCAACTCGGCGCTCGTGCATGATGCAAAACTTCTCCTTTCATTTACAACGCTGATAAAGTATCCGGACCCAAACGATCCATTAAGATCTCTGATCACTTCACGTGCACCTCCGCCAACGTCATTTATTGCATAACTTGCACTTATTGCAAAAAGATATACATCGGCGAAACAGGAAGACGACTAGGTGACTGATTGCGAGAACACCTTCGCGAAGTGGAAAGGAATGACAAGGAAAAGTCGCTAGACACTTTAATCTACCTAATCATTCTAAGCAGCATATTGCAGTCTGCGGTCTTTCCTTACGTTTAGGTATCTCGGCAAGCCGAAAAACCCACTCTTGAACAAAAGTTTATCTTTCAAATCGGCACTCTTAACCCCTTATGATGCACGATCCTCGCAGTAGATAGCGCTATTTATGCAATAGCGAAAATCAGACCTGAAAAAAATCAGGCCTGTACGGGACTCGAACCACTGACCTCTGCGATACTAGTGCAGCG